TAATAACTTGATTGGAATTATAACCTTGAATTGACAGTTTGATACTTTGAAAATTTTGAGCCAGCCCTACCCCCAAGGGCTGTAGGGTGGGGCTCAAAGGAGTCAGTGTGCTAAAATTTCTTCATTTTCCTTGTTAAGAATCAGAGGTGCTAGTTTCAAATCCTTTTTAGTCTGAAATCTGTATGCTAGATATTGAGTAAGGTGGTTTTATTGTTTTTTGTCACTTTGAATAATATTTCTGTTCATGTTAAAAACAAAATCAACTCTCTGTATAAATATATCAGGTGACCGTTAAGGCCCATGGGCCTCTTGTTATATTGGTGATTATTAGAGTTACCTTTCGTGTAATATAGAATATGTCGGATATGAACAGAGTTATTATCTGTCCTGTATCTGATCTTACAAAACCTGTTGCATGGACAAGGTGATGGTTTAGAGTGTAGAAAATCAATGATATAGACATATTTCTCGGTGGCTGTGGTTATATATTCTAGTTTGTCTAGCATCATCCTGACTTATACATATCTGCATGTGTTGGATGTTCTTCTACATACTGGTTAACGGTCAGTCTGATCTTTGTCATTCTTCTGTCTTATCTTATTTGATGTACTACTTTGATCATCTTATTATCGGTTATCCCTTTTTTCTGTTTATCTCTTATTTTGCTAAAGAATGTCAAATTTTCCTGTTAACACATTTCTCATTGTTGTAGACAACTTCAAATTTAATCATTAGAAAAAAAATATTCTTCATTTTTTAATCCATCTAATGTGTTAAGGAAATAAATGTATTTATCAATACTTATATACATGAAGACGACATAGAACGTGATAATTAGTCTTTGGTGAAAGGTAACACTGATTGTATGGCATATGGTGTTTGTGGTTTCTGTAATATGTTCCTAGCAATATATACGGCATGTCTTTGATTCAAATTGATATGATCAGCTCAAAATCGCTTTTTTTTTTTTTTTAACTTGATAAAAAAAATCTATTTAGAGTTATGTGCCCTTTTACAGAATTCATGTACCAGGAAGCTTTCCTGACAACATACCGGACGTTCATCTTTCCCCGTGATCTCATCGACAAAGTCTTGTATAGATTCAACAAGTTTCAGCGAGCTGGAGACAACAAAAAGAAACGACTAGCACGCAATGGGTTTTCACTCCTTGTCCGAATCATAGATGAACTTAGGTTGGTGGGAATTTTTCCTTAAAAGCAAACTTTTTTATAATGGTCCCTTTATTCATCTCAAACCATTTAAACCTAGGTAAATAATTACGACAACAAAACTTTCAACAATTATAACTGGAATGGATTAGTGTTTACAACTTCTGTGTATAATTAAAAATAATTAATAAATATCCAAGAAATCTGTTCTGTAAAGAACTATTTGTAAAGAGTGTATTAATGAGAGTGGCCTCCCCTGACAGCCATCCTGAGCTAGAGGACTCGATCATACAGAAGATGATGGAACTAGTGTTTGAGCTCCTGTGCCAGGGAAACCTTATGCTGGCCCGCATCCTCAGGAAGAAGATCATTGAGAAGTGTGAGGCGAAGAAAGCTCACAGTGAGGTCACTCAGACAATGAACATCACCTCCTCCATATCGCTGGCCTCCAGGTAGGCACATATATACACATCATAGTGAGGTCACTAAGATCTTAGACAGCAAAAACTCATGTCTTTATTAATCTTGGGGAATAATTTCTTATGATGCTTCCTTTCTACTGACTGGACAGTGTATTAAGTATAGAATGTCAGTATACGCAACAACCCTCACCACAGCTTACTGACTTTCTACTGTCTGGACAGTGTATTAAGTATAGAATGTCGGTATACACCACAACCCTCACCACAGCTTACTGACTTTCTACTGACTGGACAGTGTATTAAGTATAGAATGTCAGAATACACCACAACCCTCACCACAGCTTACTGACTTTCTACTGTCTGGACAGTGTATTAAGTATAGAATGTCGGTATACGCCACAACCCTCACCACAGCTTACTGACTTTCTACTGTCTGGACAGTGTATTAAGTATAGAATGTCAGTATACGTCACAACCCTCACCACAGCTTACTGACTTTCTACTGTCTGGACAGTGTATTAAGTATAGAATGTCGGTATACGCCACAACCCTCACCACAGCTTACTGACTTTCTACTGTCTGGACAGTGTATTAAGTATAGAATGTCAGTATACGCCACAACCCTCACCACAGCTTACTGACTTTCTACTGACTGGACAGTGTATTAAGTATAGAATGTCAGTATACGCCACAACCCTCACCACAGCTTACTGACTTTCTACTGACTGGACAGTGTATTAAGTATAGAATGTCAGTATACGCCACAACCCTCACCACAGCTTACTGACTTTCTACTGACTGGACAGTGTATTAAGTATAGAATGTCAGTATACGCCACAACCCTCACCACAGCTTACTGACTTTCTACTGACTGGACAGTGTATTAAGTATAGAATGTCAGTATACGCCACAACCCTCACCACAGCTTACTGACTTTCTACTGACTGGACAGTGTATTAAGTATAGAATGTCAGTATACGCCACAACCCTCACCACAGCTTACTGACTTTCTACTGACTGGACAGTGTATTAAGTATAGAATGTCAGTATACGCCACAACCCTCACCACAGCTTACTGACTTTCTACTGACTGGACAGTGTATTAAGTATAGAATGTCAGTATACGCCACAACCCTCACCACAGCTTACTGACTTTCTACTGACTGGACAGTGTATTAAGTATAGAATGTCAGTATACGCCACAACCCTCACCACAGCTTACTGACTTTCTACTGACTGGACAGTGTATTAAGTATAGAATGTCAGTATACGCCACAACCCTCACCACAGCTTACTGACTTTCTACTGACTGGACAGTGTATTAAGTATAGAATGTCAGTATACGCCACAACCCTCACCACAGCTTACTGACTTTCTACTGACTGGACAGTGTATTAAGTATAGAATGTCAGTATACGCCACAACCCTCACCACAGCTTACTGACTTTCTACTGACTGGACAGTGTATTAAGTATAGAATGTCAGTATACGCCACAACCCTCACCACAGCTTACTGACTTTCTACTGACTGGACAGTGTATTAAGTATAGAATGTCAGTATACGCCACAACCCTCACCACAGCTTACTGACTTTCTACTGACTGGACAGTGTATTAAGTATAGAATGTCAGTATACGCCACAACCCTCACCACAGCTTACTGACTTTCTACTGACTGGACAGTGTATTAAGTATAGAATGTCAGTATACGCCACAACCCTCACCACAGCTTACTGACTTTCTACTGACTGGACAGTGTATTAAGTATAGAATGTCAGTATACGCCACAACCCTCACCACAGCTTACTGACTTTCTACTGACTGGACAGTGTATTAAGTATAGAATGTCAGTATACGCCACAACCCTCACCACAGCTTACTGACTTTCTACTGACTGGACAGTGTATTAAGTATAGAATGTCAGTATACGCCACAACCCTCACCACAGCTTACTGACTTTCTACTGACTGGACAGTGTATTAAGTATAGAATGTCAGTATACGCCACAACCCTCACCACAGCTTACTGACTTTCTACTGACTGGACAGTGTATTAAGTATAGAATGTCAGTATACGCCACAACCCTCACCACAGCTTACTGACTTTCTACTGACTGGACAGTGTATTAAGTATAGAATGTCAGTATACGCCACAACCCTCACCACATCTTACTGACTTTCTACTGACTGGACAGTGTATTAAGTATAGAATGTCAGTATACGTCACAACCCTCACCACATCTTACTGACTTTCTACTGTCTGGACAGTGTATTAAGTATAGAATGTCAGTATACGCCACAACCCTCACCACAGCTTACTGACTTTCTACTGACTGGACAGTGTATTAAGTATAGAATGTCAGTATACGTCACTTTATTGAAAAAAAGTGTCTATCATGGTTTCTTCTTTTAGATTTTCGGAAGTTGTGGCAGTCATTCTTATTTTCCCTTCTTCACAATTTCTAAATGCCCAGATTATTTATTAGAATGAATGGGGTAATCTAAATTAGATTAATATTTTTATATCCCCTTTTTCAGCCCGTCTGATCTCTTACACCTCAAGTCACATGATATTGCAGAGCAGATGACATTAATGGATGCAGAGTTGTTCCAGAAAATCGAGGTAACTTGACCAACCATAATGTGGATGAAAACAGATATTTTTCTATTTAACTAAAAATTACTCCATGGATATCATAAGAAAATTTAAATATCTCACCTGGCCTTGAAAGGTTGTGAATTTGGATAAGGTGTGAGAAGTGGATCAATTCATTGGGTAAAAATATTATCAAAAAGGATTATTTGAAGATGTTACTTTTGTGGAATCAGCAGATACTTCATATAAAAGAAAAATAATTTCAGCCTGTAAGATGATTTGAAAATGAGTTTTTATCCATGCAAGAATTAATTTAGATTTTCTTTTACATCCAGATTCCGGAAGTTCTTCTGTGGGCTAGAGAACAGTCAGAGGAGTTAAGTCCAAACCTGACTGAATTCACAGAACATTTCAACAAGGTCTCCTACTGGTCAGTATGTCCAATCCTAGTAATTATAATTTTAATGTTACAATGAAAACACTTGGTATAGACATTGCAACAGCAGACCAGACTGTTATCACATTTAATGCTAACACTTTGTAACTCCACCAAAGACTGTGTTAAAATGGTGATAAAATTATCATGGAGGAAGACATTTAGAGAAAGATTAATAATGGTCCATGCAATATGTCACCTTATCTGCCTATTAGAAAAAATACACTTATATTTGAATCTGATATTTCCTCAATATTGTAACTGAATACAAATTTTAAAATGATAGAATGATTTTGGACAATGAGCATTGCTGAAAAACCCATATTTATGTATTCAATAAGACATCATCCATTCTCAATGGGGATCAGAATAAAACAGTTTTAACAGTGTGGTGGGACGACATTTCTTTCATTACTGTTTTCTTTTTACTATGTTGAAAACCGTAAACCTAATGTTGATGGATTTTAGACACGATATGTCAGATTACCATGGCTTTGTATAGGACATCAATATTGTTTTGTTTCAGGTGCAGAACACAAATTCTTATCCAGGAGGAAGCCAAAGAGCGAGAAAAATACCTAATCAAATTCATCAAAATCATGCGGGTACGTTTTTATATTACCAATGGATATCCATCGTAAAAAATCTTCAATGAGCTGTCATATTCACAGTTTCTTTGTAAAATTATATGAGGAAGTACATCCCTTTGTAGTAAAATAGATATTTGTTATTTAGATAAGATACCTTAGTGAAACAAATATTTGTATGATTGCAAACATGGTTAATATTATTTATACACTTGTAACCTTGACCCTTTCAGCACCTGCGGAAGCTGAGTAATTTCAACTCCTACCTGGCTATCCTGTCAGCAGTGGATTCAGCTCCCATACGACGCCTGGAGTGGCAGAGACAGAACCTGGAGGTACTAATTATACCTGTAGAGACCCCGGTAGTAACAGGAAGATTTCGTCTTAATAGATCAATTGTACATTAACTCATTCACCCCTGAAGACACATTTGAATTCTTCCAAATCAAAGGTTTGAATAGTTCATAATGAAATTTCAGGGGTGAATGAGTTAAAGGAAGAGACTAAATCAATTCGAGTATCACTATTTGAAACTGTTTATTAATGATAAAATATTTACGATGTTGATAGAATTTTCAAATAGCACCTCCAAAATTGTGTATGTGAATCTTTTTAACAAATTCATGTTGATCCAATCAAAAGAAAGATAAAGTCTATAATGTTGTTGATGTTCTGAAATAGTGACACTTGGGTTCTGTTTGTTTATGCAGATTGCAGACCAGCTGGTTTGTCAAGTTTTTAGATATAATATTCCAGGGGTAAAACAAGACTGACCTGCAAATGCAGGCCCTGAACATCATCAAATCCCCAGATCCGTCCCTTATTCATACAGAACAACTCTGGTCCAACTGTTTGGAACACAATAAATGAAAGCAGCCCTGTACTGATATATCTGACTCTATATAGACCACAGAACGTCATTTGTATTTCTGTCACCTCACATCATCATGTCCCTCCTGTTATTGTGTTTCAGGCCCTGAAGGAGTTCTGCCAGCTCATTGACAGTTCTGCATCATTCCGTGCCTATCGACAGGCCCTAAGTGAGACTGAACCCCCCTGTATACCCTACATGTAAGCTGTCCTTTACTGGATAAAAAATTGTGAAATACTGACGAATCAATATTTATAATGTTTAAAGGTTCAAAATTTTGTTTTTATTATAAAGCATGTTTTCAAGTACATGTGACAATGACATTTTTTCCTGAAGATATTGTTTTGTCAATTTGTTCCACATATGTGTGGAAGATATCTTTTGGATTTGTCAAGAAGTGGATATTGATATTGTTGAAGGTTGGTATTGAACTTGTCAGTAGTGGGCATTGGATTTGTTGGAGTTTGATGTTACCTTCTAGAGTTTAATATCGTATTTGTCAGTGGTTGATATCGGATTTATAGAATCTGTTGGACATAATAATTGGATTTGTTAGAGATGGATTTAAGATTTGCTGAAGGTGGTTGTTAGATTTTGTTAAAGGTGGATATTTGATTTATAGGAGTTGGATAAAGGAATTGTTAAACGTAATTATTGGATTAGTTGGAGATAAGATCTTTGATTTGTTGGAGGTAGGTATTGAAGATGTCGGGGATAGATCTTTAATTTGTTGGAGGTAGGTATTGAAGTTGTCTGGAATAGATCTTTGATTTGTTGGAGGTAGGTATTGAAGTTGTCGGAGGTAGGTATTGAAGTTGTCGGGGATAGATCTTTGATTTGTTGGAGGTAGGTATTGAAGTTGTCGGAGATAGATATTTGATTTGTTGGAGGTAAGTATTGAAGTTGTCGGGGATAGATCTTTGATTTGTTGGAGGCAGGTATTGGAGTTGTCGGAGATAGATCTTTGATTTGTTGGAGGTAGGTATTGGAGTTGTCAGAGATAGATCTTTGATTTGTTGTAGGCAGGTATTGAAGTTGTCGGAGGTAGGTATTGAAGTTGTCGGAGGTAGGTATTGAAGTTGTCGTGGATAGATCTTTGATTTGTTGGAGGTAGGATTGAAGTTGTCGGGGGTAGATCTTTGATTTGTTGGAGGGAGTATTGAAGTTGTCGGGGGTAGATCTTTGATTTGTTGGAGGTAGGATTGAAGTTGTCGGGGGTAGATCTTTGATTTGTTGGGGGCAGGTATTGGAGTTGTCGGGGATAGATCTTTGATTTGTTGGAGGTAGGTATTGAAGATATCGGGGATAGATCTTTGATTTTTTTGGAGGCAGGTATTGAAGTTGTCGGAGATAGATCTTTGATTTGTTGGAGGTAGGTATTGAAGTTGTCGGGGATAGATCTTTTATTTGTTGGAGGAAGGTATTGAAGATGTCGGAGATAGATCTTTGATTTGTTGGAGGTAGGTATTGGAGTTGTCGGGGATAGATCTTTGACTTGTTGGAGGCAGGTATTGGAGTTGTCAGGGATAGGTCTTTGATTTGTTGGAGGAAGGTATTGAAGAGGTCGGAGATAGATCTTTAATGTGTTGGAGGCAGGTATTGGAGTTGGCAGGGATAGGTCTTTAATTTGTTGGAGGTAGGGATTGAAGTTGTCAGGGATAGGTCTTTAATTTGTTGGAGGCAGGTATTGGAGTTGTCAGGGATAGATCTTTAATTTGTTGGAGGTAGGTATTGAAGTTGTCAGGGATAGATCTTTGATTTGTTGGAGGTAGGTATTGAAGATGTCGGGGATAGATCTTTGACTTGTTGGAGGTAGGTATTGAAGATGTCGGAGATAGATCTTTGATTTGTTGGAGGCAGTTATTGAAATTTTCGGAGATAGATCCTTGATTTGTTGGAGGTAGGTATTTGATTTGCTAAATGTTGATGTTACACTATCCCACCATATATGCTGATCTTATACAAAGTGAACATTTCATTTTTCTATGCTATATATAATTTAGACCTATATCAGCTGCATGATCTATAATGTGGTGTTTCATTGCTACAGTGGTCTGATCCTGCAGGACCTCACGTTTATAAACATTGGTAACCAGGACTTTTTGCCCGACAAAAATGTTAACTTTGCCAAACGTTGGCAGCAGTTCAACATCCTTGACAGCATGAGGAGGTTCAAGAAATGGTAAGTATCTGTTATTTGTGAGATTTAGTTTTAAATAAAACGACATATGTGTGTTTTATGGTGGAATAGAGTTTCAGTACAAAGTATTGTCATATCTGAGTTATGCTCTGCCAAAATGGCTCCCTTTGATAATAATTTCTCTACACATGCTAACATATATATTCAGGTGGAATTCCGAATAATTACTACAATTACATGATACAATGCTGTAACAAACAATATATTTTTGTAACACCAATGAGATGTAGCTAAGTAATAGATATTTTATTTTCACAGTTTAATGAAGCCTTATTTTCATTGCAGTAACTATGAATGTAAGAGGAACGAGAAAATCATGTCCATGTTCAATAACTTTGAGGATTATCTCAGTGAAGAAAGTCTGTGGCAGATATCAGAAAAAATCAAACCCAGAAGTGTAAGGAAAAAACCTGAACCATCAGAACCTTGATATGAAATATCCTAGGACTTGACCTTTCAACTCTAGCTGGAAGTGTAAAATATAGGATGTGACCTTTCAACCTCTAGCTGGAAGTGTGAAATATCGTAGGATGTGACCTTTCAACCTCTAGCTAGAAGTGTGAAATAATGAAATGTTTGGAGGTGTTATTTTGTGTTTTGTAAAAGTATTTGTTATTTATATCGGTTAAAAGCAGAAGGAGTATTGAAAGGTTGAAATATATACGAGACTTTGTTTATTGCAAGCCAAGGGAGGTAACCCTGATGGACCATTAGGACAGTATCTAGATAGATAAATGTGGTAGTTTTGTTTAGTATTGGTCGGTGCTATGCTATTAGACAAGGTTTACATGTCTATATCGTGGGGCTTTCAGTCACTGAAAGACACAATGCTTTAGGGGATATTATCAATCAAAGAAGTACAGGCACATGTTAGCTTTTCTTACAGGCACACAGGTCCTTGTCAGCTTCACTTACAGGCACACAGGGCATGGTCAGTCCTAGGCATGCATAGGACTTGACCAGATGTACATGGTTTTGTCATTTGTGTGTAACATAGGATTTTGTTCGCCGTAATGTTACACAGGGTTTGTCACCTGTGTGTTACATGGGGTTTTGTCATCCATGTATTACAGGTTGTGACAGCCTTAACGTTACACAATGTTTTGTCAGCCTTAATGTGACACGGGATTTTGTCAGCCGTAATATTACACAAAATTTGTGTCAGCCTTAATGTAATACAGGGTTTTGTCAGCCTTAGTATTACAAAGGATTTTATCAACCGTAATATGACACAAAAAAAATTGTCAGCCTTAGAATTTCAAAGGGTTTTATCAGCCTTTTTATTACAAAGGGTTTTTTCAGCCATAGTATTACAAAGGGTTTTATCAGCCAAGGTGTGACACAGGATTTTGTCAGCCTTAGTATAACACAGGGTTTTGTCAGCTGTAATATTACACAAAATGTTTGTCAGCCTTAGTATTTCAAAGGGTTTTGTCAGCCTTAGTATTACAAAGGGTTTTGTCAGCCTTAGTATTACAAAGGGTTTTGTCAGCCTTAGTGTGACACAGGATTTTGTCAGCCTTAGTGTGTGACACAGCGTTTTGTCAGTCTTAGTGTGACACAGGGTTTTGTCAGCCTTAGTGTGACATAGGATTTTGTCAGCCTTAGTGTGACACAGGATTTTGTCAGTCTTAGTGTGACACAGGGTTTTTTCAGCCTTAGTGTGACACAGGGTTTTTTCAGCCTTAGTATTACACAGGGTTTTTTCAGCCTTTAATATGAACACATTTAATTGGCTAAGTTTTCTGGCGTAACAAAGATGCAGTAATAGCTTGTAAGCAACTGCAGTTCAATATTTAGATATATTCCTATTTGAAATCATTGCTATAAAAGAGCACAATTATATATTTTGGGGTATTAAGTGTTTTCAAAATATGAATCATTGGAGCTTTGTTTCTCATGACCTCAAATGTGCTGTACTTAAAATAGGATAGAGTGTTGGAGTTCCTCATTTCTTTTGTGCAGTTCCTGTCAAAGTGAAAAGGGTTAAAATCTTTTGAATGATGAAACAAGCTTGACCTTTAACGGAATATTAATGACTTTTATTGATATTATTTAGAAGTCTAGCTTTACTGTATAGGGCCTTTCATATGCAAGTTGAATATAGACATTTATCACAGGGTACTTCTATAGTATATGCAAATCATTCACATGTATACTAGTCCATTCATACTGTGACCACAAGGGCATGGCTTTACGCTGTAATGGTGACATCAAAAAGTCAAACAAAATCATTCATACTAAAACTATATAAAAGTATTCCAATCCAGTATTGATATCTATTCTACTTTCTTTTCATCTTTATGCTTACTTTTACATCCATCTTACTTTCTGTTTACATATATTTACAAAGAACTTTGAATTTCTTTTATTATCATTGAATTGTAAACAATATAGAAATGTGATTTTTACTGTTCAATACAAATGCTAACTGTAGTTATGATGACTTTGTTGTTGTGATGAACACATAAAGCCTGGACAATGAAGCTTGCTCTGGTGGGAAATTATGGCAACGTACTTACTAGTTTGATAGATATAATCAGTTATCAGTAATGTTGCAGACTCTGAACCTACCCCCAGTGAACTTCATTGAGCAAGACCTATTTAAAATGTGTTAATTTACAATTTGTTTATCACAAACCTTGATTCTGAACATGACCTGGTATGCCTGGCTTTATTTTGTTGGCAGAAAAAAAAATGTAACTTTGTGTAAAAATTTCTGAAGAGAGGCTATCATTTATTTCATTTAGATGTAGAATATGGAGAAGTGAATGGAACAGGAAGTGGTATGTGTGTATGGGTGTTGGTGTGTGAATGTTAATTGGACTGTGTGTAAGTGTGTAGCATACAAAATCATGTTTGTGATGTTGCCCCTGTAAATAATGGATGTAAAAACAAGACTGATGTGTGTATGATGGGAGTGCTACATGTTTAATTTATTGAAATGTCATGTAGTAGATGTATGCACATAGTGTGTTTTACTTGTGACTGTACACATATAGATTGTAGTATACTACAGACTCTGGATCTCCAACTATCTGTATACCATGTCAACACTGTACACATAGATTGTAGTATACTACAGACTCTGGTTCTCCAACTATCTGTATACCATGTCAACACTGTACACATAGATTGTAGTATACTACAGACTCTGGAGCTCCAACTATCTGTATACCATGTCAACACCGTACACATAGATTGTAGTATACTACAGACTCTGGATCTCCAACTATCTGTATACCATGTCAACGCTGTACACATAGATTGTAGTATACTACAGACTCTGGGTCTCCAACTATCTGTATACCATGTCAACACCGTACACATAGATTGTAGTATACTACAGACTCTGGTTCTCCAACTATCTGTATACCATGTCAACTCTATACACATAGATTGTAGTATACTACAGACTCTGGAGCTCCAACTATCTGTATACCATGTCAACTCTATACACATAGATTGTAGTATACTACAGACTCTGGAGCTCCAACTATCTGTATACCATGTCAACACCGTACACATAGATTGTAGTATACTACAGACTCTGGAGCTCCAACTATCTGTATACCATGTCAACGCTGTACACATAGATTGTAGTATACTACAGACTCTGGACCTCCAACTATCTGTATACCATGTCAACTCTATACACATAGATTGTAGTATACTACAGACTCTGGAGCTCCAACTATCTGTATACCATGTCAACTCTATACACATAGATTGTAGTATACTACAGACTCTGGTTCTCCAACTATCTGTATACCATGTCAACACTGTGCACATATAATGTCTAGTGACAACAATGTACAAGATGTGTGATAACTGTCAATAATGTAGACATTTGTTACTGTCAACATGCTACACATATATTGTCTAGTGACAACAATGTACACACCATGTACACAAGTGTCAACCAACAAGGTACACTTTGTGTGTTAAGTGTCAACAGGGTACAATGTGTCAGAAATGTACACATATAGTGTAAACAATTTATACATGGCATCCAGAGTGTACAAGCTGCCTGTGTAAAACAGTGAACAGGAGACGTGTGGAAACTGTTGAACACAATACCTGTGTATACTGTTGAACACGATATGTGTGTATACTGTTGAACACGATACATGTGCATACTGTTGAACACGATATGTGTGTATACTGTTGAACATGATACAGGTGTATACTGTTGAACATGATATGTGTGTATATTGTTGAACACGATACCTGTGTATACTGTTGAACACGATATGTGTGTATACTGTTGAACAAGATACATGTGCATACTGTTGAACACGATATGTGTGTATACTGTTGAACACGATACATGTGCATACTGTTGAACATGATACGTGTGTATACTGTTGAACATGATACATGTGTATACTGTTGAACACGATACCTGTGTATACTGTTGAACACGATACCTGTGTATACTGTTGAACATGATACCTGTTTCTAATGGTGACAGTATCACCATTGAGCAGTTGCTTTGTGGGTTTTATTTATCACACTTTTTCGCAGTTAGTGTATAAAAATGTCTGTACAACCGTATGGAGTGTACAGAATGTTGAGTCTTTACAGTCATATCTGGTGTGTACAGCCATTTTGAGTTTGTACAGCCATACAAAGCATGTACATCCCCATTAAGAATGTACAGCCATATTAAGTGTGTTCAGCCATGTACAGCCATATCCTGTGTGTTCAGTACTGTGCAGCCGTGAGCATGTACAGACCGTGATACACATGTATGGTACAATTATGTAAATATATATAGAAGCACTTGTTAGTGTAAACGCACCACAACATACAATGTAATGTTTATTTATTTAATATATTATGCATTATACATATATATGTAATTATTACGAATTAAGGGACAGTTGTAATATTTCATAACCATTAGTCTTAATGTCACTATGTGTATGCTATAGGTAGGTAGTTGACTATTTATTTTTGTGTGTGACAGTATGACAGTGACAGGTTTTATCTTAGTGAGAGGAAGATTGGTAAAGGATGGCAAATTTTTTACTTTGTGTCCTCAAATGACAGAGAGAGCTTACTCCAAGATCAGTCATCCTCAGTTTAAAAATATGTTTCATGAACACTTCATATTTTATTCTGCTTTTAATTAAATGTGACAAAAAAAAAGAAAATGTTTAACATTTTCTTTTTTTTTTGTCACACGATTTTGTGCAAGAATATATATATAAAAAAAGAGCATTTAGATGCAAAATAAATTGGCATGTAGTTTACATGCATCTACTCCTGCTGGCTGTCAGTGGAGGCCACAGTGGGACCCCCAGTACATGTATCTGTACTTGTTAGCATACAGCTGGCTGGGTCAAGTAACTCACTTTGGGGTATATGTAATCATAGGTTTAGCATTTTAGTGTAATGTCAAATGAAAAAAAATATGCTTGAGTGAAATCATAAGCTTATGTTTCTTTTATGTTCATCATGCAAAGAAAATATCAAAATATTCCCTAAAAACCCCTGTAACTTGTGTAGTAATGTGAAATGTGCATACTGGATCTCTAGGTGGAAATGCTGGGAAAGAATTGAACATTGTATGTACATGTAATTGGAAACATTTTAAACATTGAAACTTAAAGTGGAAAAATATCCCAAATTACACAAGTTTTTATTGAAGTGGTAATCGACATGCTGTCCGACAGAGACAGGTTATTGTAATCTACAATTGTTGTGATAGAAATTATGCATTATATATAGTACCATTTTTACATACATGGATTTGATAATTTTGTAATTTATTAGTGAACGTCAAAACTGGTTACATGTTGTTATTCCGTTGGTCAAAAAAGATGATTGTGCCTGTATGATATGAATGTACATCTCTGAGTGCAGTGCTTTGTTATATGCAGTAGTGAACTTTTCGGAGAGCCTATCGATTGTAGAAAAATACCTTTTATAAATCTAATTAAGTTTAAAGCCGTCTAATTTAAATTCAGCTTGAATATTTCATGGAGTTATGTATTCATTTTTTTCTATGTTAAAACCTTGATTTTTCTTTTCATGTTAAGGTTTATCAAAAGTAGTGGATTTTAAAGACATCAAAATATATTTACATTGGTAGAAATTCAAGGGAGATAATTTGAAAAGTAAACGCAAAAATAGTTGAATCCTGGACACTACTTAAGTACACAACAAGTACAAACTGGCACATATAGTTAGGTGAAAGTAATAACTCAAAATTGATATTTGTTTAGTGAACTTTGCCAAGAATAACAAACTCAGTTGAGTATGGCATCATTTTGACAAACCATGACTTTTTGCAAGGGGTATAAAACAAATTGTTGTTAATCGTTTAGCAGCTCTGGACTGGAATAGCTCATTCAGGACCTCTTCTTATATATCTATATCCTGGCTTAACCCATGGCATGTCTTCACTTGCCTCAATTGACCATTGACAGGTAGGTTATTGCTTTAATTGACAATTGACAGGTAGGTGATTGCCTGGATTGATAATTGACAGTAGGTGATTGCTTTAATTGACCATTGACATAAGTGATTGCCTGGATTGACAATTGACAGGAAGGTGATTGCTGCAATTGATTAAATAAAGGTGAGAAAATCGCCTCAATTAACAGTAAGGTGATTGACAATTGACAGTAGGTGATTGCTTCAATTTACAATTGACAGGTAGGTGATTGCTGTAATTGACTATATACAGGTAGGGGAATTGCCTCAATTGACAGTAAGGGGATTGCTTCAATTTACAATTGACAGATAGGTGATTGACAATTGACAGTAGGTGATTGCCTGGATTGACAATCGACAGAAGGTGATTGCTTCAATTGACTATTGACAGGTAGGTGATTGCCTGGATTGACAATTGACAGGTGATTGCTTCAATTGACTTTTGACAGGTAGGAGATTGCTTTAATTGACAGGTAGGTGATTGCCTCAATTGACAGGTAGGTGATTGCCTCAATTGACCATTGACGGGTAGGGGAATTGCCTCAATTGACAGTAAGGTGATTGCTTCAATTGACTATTGACATGTAGGGGAAATGCCTCAAATGACAGTAAGGTGATTGCCTGGATTGACAATTGACAGTAGGTTACTGTTCAATTGACAATTGACAGTAAGGTGATTGCCTGGATTGACAATTGACAGGTGATTGCTTCAATTGACTTTTGACAGGTAGGTGATTGCTTTAATTGACAGGTAGGTGATTGCCTCAATTGACCATTGACGGGTAGGGGAATTGCCTCAATTGACAGTAAGGTGATTGCTTCAATTGACTATTGACATGTAGGGGAAATGCCTCAATTGACAGTAAGGTGATTGCCTGGATTGACAATTGACAGTAGGTGATTGCCTGGATTGACAATTGACAGTAGGTGATTACTTCAATTGACTATTGACAGGTAGGGCAATTGCTTTGTACAGGCAGTAACTTTCCATCAAATTAATGAAGACCTCCATGCACTTGGTGCTGGTATATAAGTATATCACATGTAATGACGACTCTCTCTGTTTAGAAATAAGAATTTGAACATATTTGACATAGTAATCATATACTCCGTGGGAAGGTTTGTAAATCTGTGTTTGACGCTGTGAGTATGACTCCTGGTAGAGTCCGCTGTGATGAGTGAGAGAAGCTCTTATGTAGGTGTTTATGTGTAAATACACTGTTAGAGTATAAAACTATATTGTGATAGAGCTATGGTAACGAGTGATTTAGTGACCTTATTTAACAATCATTACCGTTCACAGGTATTAGATTCTAATACATCTGTGGATATCTCCTTCATATACCTCATCACCATTACTCTCCCCTTCTCACAGGCCATAAGTCATGTAACTTCATAAACCTTCTCCCATCAATCATTACTACTCACTAACAGTAGACGATACTAGTAGTTTTGTGTAACAGAAAATGCCTGTTGCATTGTTTGTTACTACTTTACTTAAATAATCTGTCTAAGTCAAGATCTGCTTTTTATGGGCATTAGCATTATATAATTTTCGAAAAAAATTTCGTGTTCCAGTTTTACTGGAGGTATACCTACTTATTCTACTAAAATGTTGATCATCGATATTATATTTGATGTAATTTCTGTAAAACGTGTTTATTATGAACACGTCAATTC